TTATGCTGATGACACACAATGATATTTGTCCATTAAACCCAATGAATCCAATCAGTTGCTTAGACTACAAGCATGTCTTAAAGACATAAAAACCTGGATGACCCTTAATTTTCTCCTTCTGAACACAGACAAGACTGAGGTTTTGGTTTTTGAACCTGAGCACCTTAAGAATGAATTTTTCAGTCTTTTGCCCTCCTTAGATGGCATTAATCTGGCCTCCAGTTCTAATGTTAAAAATCTTGGTGTTATTTTTGATCAGGACATGTCTTTTATCCCCCACATTAAAAATGTTACTAGAACCTCCTTCTTCCACCTGCGTAATATAGCTAAAATTAGAAAAGTCTTATCTAAAAATGATGCAGAAAAACTGATCCATGCATTTGTCACGTCTAGACTGGACTATTGCAATGGTTTATTATCTGGGTGTCCAAATACTTCTTTAAAATGTCTTAAGTTGATCCAAAATGCTGCTGCCAGAGCCTTAACTGGAGTTAGTAGGAGAGATCATATCTCTCCAGTTTTAACTTCTCTGCATTGGCTCCCTGTCAAATCCAGAATAGAATTCAAAATCCTACATCTAATCTACAAAGCTCTCAACAACTTAGCTCCATCTTATATTACAGATCTTATTGTTCCATATTTTCCTAACAGAGCACTTCGCTCTCAGGCTGCAGGTTTACTTGTGGTTCCTAGAATTTACAAAAACAGAATGGGAGGTAGAGCTTTCAGTTATCAGGCTCCTCTCTTGTGGAACCAACTTCTAGTTTCTGTCCGTGAGGCTGACACATTATTCAGTTTTAAGACTGGGCTTAAGACTTTCCTTTTTGCTAAATCCTATAGTTAGGGTTGGCTTGGATTTCCTGAGCTGTCTCTTAGTTATGCTGCTATAGGCTTAGACTGCTGGAGGACAAACTAACCACACTTTTTCACACTGCTACTGTCTTTACTTACTCTGCTCAGCCTGTTTTGTATTTGTAATTATTTTTTCTGTCCTAACGTGTTTTTTGTCTTTCAGGTACACCTGGACCTATATCTGGACCTACCATTCTGTGTTCATTTGTCTCTGTCCTCGCAAACCAGCCGGTCAAAGCAGATGTCCGCTTGTCCTGAGCCTGGTTCTGCTGGAGGTTTCTTCCTCTTAAAAGGGAGTTTTTCCTTTCCACTGTTGCCTCTGTGCTTGCTCAGGATGGGAGACTGCAACAAAGCCAAGATTCAGCTTGTCTGCTGGATTCCTTAGATAGAGAACTTTACTAATTGGCTTTTTTATGTATGTGAATGTTCCTGTAAAGTGCCCTGAGACAACTTTGTTGTTATTTGGCGCTATATAAATAAACTGAATTAAATTGAATTGACTGGTACACGTACTGGTACCGACTAACAGATGAAGTCAGGCCGGAATCCCCGTGGACTATGATGTTTGCAGATGACATTGTGATCTGTGGTGAGAACAGTAAACGGATGGAAGAGAACTTGGAGAGGTGGAGATATGCACTTGAAAGAAGAGGAATGAAAGTCAGCCTTAGTAAGACAGAGTACGTGTGTGAATGAGAGGGAGGCAGGTAGAACAACGAGGCTACAAGGAGCAGAGTCATAAAGGTGCAGGAGTTCAAGTACTTGGGGTCCACTGTCGAGGAAAATGGGGAGTATGGTAAAGAGGTGAAGAAAAGAGAGTCCAGGCAGGATGGAGTGGGTGGAGAAAAGTTTCAGGAGTGATTTGCAACAAGTTGTGAGACCAGCTATGTTATGTGGTCTAGAGACTGTGAAATTGACAAAAAGACAGGACAAAGGCCTGGAAGTGGCAGAAATGCAGATGTTGAGGTTGTACTTAGGAGTGACAAGGATGGATGATATTAGGAACGAGATCATCAGAGGTACAGCACAGGTTGAACAACTGGGGGATAAAGTTAGAGAGGCCAGGCTGAGATGGTTTGGACATGTCCAGAGGAGGGACAGTGGGTATATTGATAGAAGGATGTTAGAAATACAGCTGCCAGAAAAAAGACAAAGAGGAAGGTCAAAGCAGAGATACAGTATATGGATGCAGTTAGAGAAGACATGTAGGTAGTTGGAGTGAGGACAGAGGATGCAGAGGACAGAGTGAGATGGAGGAGGATGATTCACTGTGGAGACAGACCCCTGAAGAGGGATAATCCAAAAGAAGAAAAAGACACCAAATTTTCATCGTAGTCTCACTGACTTCTAAGTGTTTTCAACCCATGAGCTATGTGATGCATTGCACTATCAGCTTTTGAAAATCTGTGTATGCTTGTGTGCCCAGCTTGGAAAATTGCATTCTTGGCCATTGCCATTATTTTATTGTCCTCCTTTGCCTACATAATAAGTACTATGTGTTGTCATCTTGTATGTTGTTCTTTTTTCCTCCTTGCTCTCAACGAAGGTGGATGCTTTTCCCTCGTGCTTTTTTCCTGCTTTGCATATTTACCTGGGCGGCTGTGACTGAGTGGTTAGAGCAGTCGTCCTCCAATGAAAGGGTTGGGGTTTCAAATCCACCAGCAGTCACATGCTGAAGTGTCCCTGGGCAAGACACTGAACCCCTCATTGCTTCCGATGTGTGTCCTATCAGTGTATGAATGTGATAAAGCTCTGATTAGTTTCTTTAGAATGATTTGTTCAATTAGCTTTGTAGAGATCTAGTAGAGTGCTGTATGAATGGGTAAATGAGGACACAGATTGTAGTGTAAAGCGCTTTGAGTATCTTGATCAGATAGAATGGCACTATACAAGTACAGTCCATTTACCATTTACCTGTATGTCATCTAACGCGTTACTGACATCGGACCACTTTTTTCAGTAACTAGTAATCTAACGCATTGCTATTTCAAAATCCAGTAATCAGATTAAAGCTACTTATCCAAATTACTGTGCGTTACTATTTTTGTCATTTTCACTAGTTATTTAATTTTATTTCATCAACACTTCTCAGGGAGTGACAAAAAAAAATCTTGGGGAATGACGTCAGGTCTATGCGACAATTCAGTCACTTTATAATTACCTGTGATACCTGACACCATGCGCAACAGAAACACTGTGGTAAAGTGAACGTAAACAATGGAGCGAGGAGAAAGATACGCATTTTGTAGCTGGTAAATACAGGAACTATTTTGAGTTTCTGTCAGCGAAGAATGACAATTTCAAGGTTCGTTGTACCCTCTTTGCTGGCGAGAAAGTGCTGTCTAGCTTCAAAAACACCATATTAAATCTGAAGAAAAGGAGTCACAGCACAGGACAGTCATTGATGGAGCTAGCCCCGCCAGGTGGTTCGAAGCAGAGAGCTGGGACAGAGATGGAGAGAAATCTGAAGGCTGCACTGAATAATGTCGACTTTGTGTCAACTACTGCAGATATTTGGACTGCTAATGCCAGTAACAGAAGCTATACGGGAGTAAGAAGGTGACTTTTCTTATGGGACTTTACTAGTCACACTTGAAGTTCTGATGCAGAAGACCCTGGCTGTGAAAAATCTGCTCTCCAGGATGACTGCAGACCTTCCAGATGCTACAGTGAAGGTATGTTATACCTGTAAGCTAGTTAAAATTTCTTACATCACACTATTTTCGTACATTGTACATTCATTATCATCGCCAAAAAAGATTAAAACAAATACAAATGTCAATAAGAATCCTAAAACAAAATTAAATCCATAATATTGATCCCACATGGTTTGCAAATAATTCAATTACATAATAAATAGTAGACCTTGTAGACATATCAAAACATATCAATTATATTTTTCAGGCTATCCAGAGATTTCAGACTCGTTTTGCTGGTGTGCTGGACGACGAAGATGCCCTTCTTGCATCTGTCAGTTTTCCTAAATTCAAACTCCAATAGTTAAGAGACACAGGTAGGAAGGACAGAGTAAAAGAACTTTGACTTGGAAAGACTCTTTATTTTTATTTTTATTTTTTTACTTAAAAAAGTATTTATGTTTGACAAAGTGAAGAAAAACTTTTTTTTTTTTTTTGGTAAAAATCATATTTGTTTAGTGAAGTCAAGAAATACCTTTTTTTTTATATGTATTTTTTTCCTGAAATAGTTTTTAACTTCAACTTTATATGTCAGGAGATATATTGTTGATGTTACCATTAAAATGCACTTTCAGTAAATTAAGTATTGACAAAACTCAATGTAATTTTTATGTTGAGGTGGCGGAGGGTTGTTGTCAGCAGCTGCTGAAAGTAACTAATAAAGTAACTTGTAATCTAACTTAGTTACTTTCCAAATCAAGTAATCAGTAACTTAACTAAGTTACTTTTCCCAAGGACTAATCAGTAACTTAACTAAGTTACTTTTCAATGTAACTATGCCATCACTGGATCTGTGTGTTGCTTTATTGTGCTGAAGATTTTTTGCAACCTCAAACTGTGTCATGTTAGGGACATCGTGTGAGATATGATTTTTTTTCTACTTCCTCTTCCCCTTGTGGTCTCTTTTTATCTACAGAAAAGAAAAGGCAGCGCCTCTCATGTAGGCCGCAGCCTTAGACACCCCGTCTACCCATGTCTACGTTGTTTAGTTGTTTGTGTTTCTTCGGACGGGCTGTACTGAAATGTAATTTTGTGGTGCATCTGTGCAATGACAATAAAGCTGATTCTGATCCATTTCTGATCTATGTTCCCATACAATGGCAAAATTTGTTCTCTGCATTTAACCCATCGCACTTGGGATACACCCAGGTGGAGCAGTGGGCTGCTATGTAAGTGCTCGAGGAGCAATTAGGGATTGAGCGTCTTGCCCAGGGACACTTCAACATGTGACTGCTGGTGGATTCAAACCCACAACTCTCACGTTGGAGGATGACTGGTCTAACCACTCAGCCACAGCGGCCTATAGTTCATAGTATTTTATATCCAGGAACACCTGCAAGAGTTTTATCTTCTCATTTTGTGAGTGCATCTGGTCTTTACATTGAACCCGATGTGTTTGTGTCTGTTGCAGGTATAACAGCAGCAGCTTCCCTCGTCTCTCTTGCCTGGGCTTTGGCCTCATACCAGAAGGCCTTACGTGACTCTCGGGATGACAAAAAACCCATTAGCTACCTTGCGGTCATCATACAGTTTTGCTGGCACTTCTTCACGATAGCAGCCAGAGTCATCACCTTTGCCCTTTTCGCCTCTGTGTTCCAACTGTACTTTGGCATCTTCATCGTCCTGCACTGGTGCATCATGACCTTCTGGATTGTCCACTGTGAGACAGACTTCTGCATCAGCAAATGGGAGGAGATTGTGTTTGACATGGTGGTGGGCATCATTTACATTTTTTCCTGGTTCAATGTGAAAGAAGGAAGGACAAGGTAAAATCACTCAACTTCACCCAAAGTTTTTTTATTGGTCCATTATTTTGATAATTTGGAAAATTTCAGTCTAAGATGGTTGTCTTAGCTGTCAACCTTGTAGTAACTACAATTATCTGTGACACCAAAAGACCACAACAAAGTTTATGGGGGTAAAACACTTTCAGACCAATATTTACAATCTGAAGTTACACCGAAATAAACAAACACTCATAAATAATATATATCTTTTTTTACTTTTCTTCATCAGTTTAAAGACTCAGGCAGTGTCCATTATCACACTCTAAAAGAGCAACGGATTTTAGAGAAAAATAGTCTTATCATATTTTTTACAGAGGCTAGAGAAGGTGGGCCTGTGATCGGAAGATCGCCGTTTCAAGCCCCGGTACAGACAACATCAAAAAAATGTGGGTGGGGTATGTGAAGCAACCAAAACTACCCCTACCCTCATTCGCCCCACTCTGGGCCCTTGAGCAAGGCCCGTAACCCCCATCTGCTCCCTAAACAGGTCTCTCTTGAAAATGAGTTCTCGTGGCTCAATGAGACTACCTGTATAAATAAAGTGTAAATAAAATAAAATAATTATATATATACATATATATATATATATATATATACATATATATATATATATATATATACATATACATATAAATATATACATACATATACATATAAATATATACATACATATACATATATATATACACACACATATATATATATATACATATATATATATATATACTGTATATATATCAGAGTCAGAGTTTCTTTATTGTCATTCGCACCTCATGTGGTACATGTGGTGGAGCGAAATTATGTACACAGGGTCCCAGTTACATCCAACAATAAAATGTATAAGAAAAACAGTAATAACATCTAAGATATGAACTAAGAAAAACATCAATTAAATATACACTAAGCACTCATAACATAAAAACATTGAACATCAGCACAAACATGAACATGAGTCTGTGAGCAGATGTGCACGCATGAACACATCAACATTGAAACAGATCAGCAGCAACATGAAACAGATCAGCAGCAACATGATATGGTTTTTCACAGTGATTATTCTAGTTAGAGATTTATGAGTCTAACAGCCTCAGGGTAGAAGCTGTTCCTCAGTCTAGTGGTTCTACACTTAATGCTCCTTAACCTCCTTCCTGAGGGGAGTGGGGCAAAAAGTGTGTGTGCTGGGTGAGTGGGGTCCTTCATGATGCAGGTGGCCCTATTCCTGCATCTGGAGGTGTAGATGTCTGTGATGGTGGGGAGACTGACTCCAACAGACTTCTGTGCAGCCTTCACCACTCTCTGCAAAGCTTTTCTTCTGCAGCTGTGCAGCCTCCATGCCACACGTTGATGCTGGAGCATAGGATGCTCTCCACTGCACACCTGTAGAAGGAGGTGAGGACTGAGCTTCCCAGACCAGCTCGCCGCAGCCGCCTGAGGAAGTAGAGTCTCTGATGAGCTTTCTTGATCAGGCTACTAGTGTTGTTGCCCCAGCTGAGGTTGTCATTCATGTGCACACCCAAGTACTTGTACCTGGAGACCATGTCCACTGCAGATCCTCCTATGTTCAAGGGGGGTGGGGGGGGGGGGGGTATTCCTTCCGAAGTCCACAACCATCACCTTTGTCTTCTTCACATTGATGTCAAGGTTGTTCATCCTGCACCAGCCCTTCAGGTTTTCCATCTTCTGCCTGTAGCTGGACTCATCATTGTTTTTGGTGCGTCCAACTACCGCTGTATCATATGCAAACTTTACAATATGACAGCCTGGATGGGTCGGTACGCAGTCATATGTTATCAGAGTGAAGAGGAGGGGGCTCAACACACAGCCTTGGGGGGAGACCATGCTGAGGGTTATGGTGGAGGAGAAGACGTGGATCTTCACAGATTGTGGTCTGTTGGTTAAGAAGTCTAGGACCCAGTTGCAAAGAGAGGAACATAGTCCTAGTGTGATTAGTTTGTCCATCAGGGTCTGGGGAATCATGGTGTTGAAGGCAGATGTGAAGTCCACAAAGAGCATATGGACGTAGGAGTCCTTCTGTTCCATATGGGTGAGAGCAGTGTGAACCACAGAGGAGATGGCATCTTCTGTTGATTGATTCTCCCGGTATGTATGCTGGTGAGGGTCCACGTTGATGTTGATGTTAGCTTTGACGTGAGTTATGACCAGTTTTTCAAAGCATTTAGCGACTATCGGGTTGAGGGCTACCGGCCAATAGTCATTCAGGCCAGTCACTGTCGAGCTCTTTGGGACCGGGATGATGGTGGCAGTCTTCCAGCAGGTGGGAACTGTTTCCAGGGTGAGGGAAGAGTTAGATATGTTGGCCAGCACCTCACAGAGCTGATCGGCAGTCTTTCAGCACTTTCCCTGGGATGTTTTCCAGGCCAGTTGCCTTGTGAGGATTGATCCTCCTGAAAGTACTCCTTACTTCTGCTGAGGTCATGCTGAGGGACTCTTCTTCTTGTGATAAAGTGAGTCTGGTGCTGGGTGGTGTGTTCGGGTTCTCAAAGGGTGCATAGAATCTGTTGAGAGCATCAGGCAGTGATGGTTCCCAAGGGCATTGTGCACCTCTGCCTTTATAATCCGTTATGCACGTAATGCCCTTCCACATGTTCTGTGTGTTTTGTGAAGAGAAGTGTTCCTGTATCTTCTGTGCATATGCTGCTTTGGCACTTTTAATACCAGCATCCAGCTCTAACCTTGTCCTCCTCAGCTCCTGTGAGTTGCCAGACCTGAAGGCAATGTCCCTGGCTCTCAGCAGGGTGTGTACCTCTACGTTCAGCCAGGGCTTTTGGTTCGGATAGTGTTCCACATTCCTGAAGGTGGTGACGTCACCAGTACACTTAGAAATGTAACACAGAACTGAGGATGTGTATTCATCTAAGTCTATTGCCCCTCCCTCTTTGAGAGAAGCTTCCGGGCATACTTGCCAGTCCGTGTGTTTAAAGCAGTCTCTTAAAATAGAGTCACTGTTTCTTACCCACCCCTTTAAACGCCTTTGTATTGGTCTGGAGCGTCTCAGTGGGAGCAGATAAGCAGGCACCAGCAGTATTGATATGTGATCAGAGAGTCCGAGGTGGGGACGGAATACGGCTTTATATGCGTCCTTCACGTTGGTGTAAACATGGTCCAATGTGTTATTCCCTCTTGTAGGAATGGTCTCATGCTGATAAAAACTTGGCAGTGTCTCCTTCAGATTTATGTGGTTAAAATCACCAGATACTATGTAAAAAGTCTCCAGGTGTTTGTTCTGAAGTGAGCTGATGTTATTTCTTAGCCCTTTCAGGGCATCTTTAGCATTAGCGTCCGGAGCTTTGTAAACAGCTATTATAAACACAGCCGTAAACTCGCGGGGTAAATAATGTGATTGGCACTTCACAGTTAGTTGCTCTAAAGCCTCGGAGCATGTACTTATTTATCAGTGTACATTTTGTGGACCAACCTTTGTTTATGTAAATACACAATCCTCCTCCGCACGTCTTTCCCGTTTGTTTGCTGCAGCGGTCCACTCGGAAGAAAAGTCTGCCATCCATCTGAAACGCTGAATCCGGCATGTTGCTTTTTAGCCATGTCTCTGTGAGACAGAGTACCGCACATTAATTCATCTCTTCTGAGGCACTCATGCTCAGTTGAAGCAGATCCATCTTGTTATCAAAGGACCGGACGTTGGACAGAAAGAGAGATGGTATCAGCAGTCTGCCGGGCCTTGCGTTAGCTTTCTGCCTCACCAGCACACCTGCCCGGCATTCCCTTTTCTACTCCTGGGCACAACGCCTCCTCTTTCCGTTTGAGCGCTGCTTTTGCCACGCTGATGTCTGTAAAAGTTGTAGTCTGCCGAGCGTAGCCTTAACATTGTTGTTGATTGCTTCTGTGTTCAGTGTTAAATCCTCTCTCATCCTCATCACTTCAGTTCGGCTATAATTCACATGCTTAATGCGTGCAGAGTCAGGTTCGGAGTCTGTCTTTAAACTCCTGAAAACTGGGATCTCACTGGGAACCTGTGAAGCTGCTGCTGCTCTGAGCGCGGCCATCTTGGCCATCTTAAGTACAAAAGGTTTGAGTTACTGTCCTTGTTATTCTACAACTTTTTAAACTTATAGTATTTCAATTTAGTTTATTATTTATGTAAACAAATGTAATCTCAGTGTGAGTATAAACAAGTAAAATTGTCCAGCTGATTCCAAATGCAACCCATGGCAAATTTTAGGTAATCACCAGAGGATGTTATTTCAATAGTTTCATTTTTATAAAAAATGAAATTAATAAATAAATCATGGGCCTTTCACAAAAATTGCACTTTTCTAATTTCTAATGTTCTGGTATTAAGAAACAATAACAAAAAGAAAAAATATAATTGTTGCTGTCAGCCAGATTTGCTTTTTATAAAGCAAGTGGATGAAACAATTGTGTAACCATCTTATTCAAAATATTTATATAGCACCAATTCCCAACAAAATTCTTCTCAGGGCACTGCACAAAAACATTCACATGCATTATGAAATACCATTTAGTAAAAGTTATCTATCTAAAGAAGCCAGCAGTTGTGTTGAATCTTCATTTCATTGCAATCTTCCACCTATTGTTATTTATGAGTTATTTTCATTAGAGACAGGAAAAGAAAAACTCCCTTTTAACAAGAAGAAACCTCCGGCAGAACCAGGTTCAGGACGAGCAGCCACCTGCCTTGACTGTCTGGGGTTAGAGAGGAAAAGACAGAGATACAAACACTGAATGACTGGTCCAGGTGTAGTTTCTATGGCCCAGGTGTAGTTCTTATGGTCCAGGTCTAGTTTCTATGGACCAGGTGTAGTTTCTATGGCCCAGGTGTAGTTTATATGGTCCACATTTAGTTTCAATGTTCCAGGTATAGTTTTTTATGTTCCAGGTGTAGTTTATATGTTCCACGTGTATTTTCTATGGTCCAGGTGTAGTTTCTTTTTTCATTCATTCAACCTTTATTTAAACAGATAAATCACATTGAGCCT